TTCCCGATGCCTCTCATCGGGGTAATCGTGAAAGCGGACCTTCATTGTAAATGACTGGTTGAATAATTAAGAGAGGGTCGTGTTTAGATTCGGATTTTCCACACCCGGTTGTTATGCGGCCTCGCAGCGGATGAAATTTTCAGATTGGAATTATTATTCATACAACTCTGGGAAATTAATGGAATACTGCTTTGAGTGATTTTGGTTCGTTAGAGAGCATCATAGAAGACCGTGATAAAATGGATGATTTAATTATAGAGTGTATCATTTTTTTTTTTTTATTATTTAATAATAATATTTGCACTTCCATAAAGTATAAATTGCATCAACAAGTTATATTAGTATTTTGTAGTAGGAAAGTGTCTTTAGTACTGTGCAAAAAGAAAATTTTGCATAGAGGAGGTAACTTGAGAATCTCGAGAGAAATTTTTAATTAACTTAAGAATCTTCAACGAAATTCTTAATTAAGTTAGGAATTTTAACCAAAAGGTATTACTTAACAGCTTCGAACAAAATGAAACTACGGTATTTATACAGTACTCATTTCTATACTTTTGTTAATCCTGATAACTATCAGCTGAGAAATTCTTTTAAAATTCATGGAGATAAGTAGATTGTTGAGGTGTTACTCGAGTCTGATCACAGACACTCCATTTTCCTTTGAAAATATGTAAAATATATATTAAAATTTCATCACAGGTTTCTTATTATAATAGAAAAAGGAAAATTTATATTATAATTTGAATCCAGAGAAGAAGTTTGTATTCCATATTTTTCGAACGTGTTTTTTGCTTCAATCATAAAATGAAAAATGAAGAAAATGAATTTCTGACTGTAAGATTTAATCAGATTATCAAAGTACCTCGGCAATTTCTCGTTTACCAAGAAGATGAAACGCGTTGTAAGGTCGAGAAGCAGAGGACGTCGTATTGCAGATTTTATTACCCTCGACTTCTCGGGGCGCAATTGTAAACTCGATAGAGAAATTAATACCAGGACACGTTTATAACGTTCCTTGGTCCTTTATACCGTTGCGTTGACATGTAACTGCCATACACTTTTCATCGCTTTACACAGCTGCACGGATGCGGACGATAAAAGCCTTTATATCGTACATCACAGACAAAATTCTAATATTACCGGCACACCTTCGGCATGAAAAAACCGTTTCATATTAAACCTTGCCGCTTTCCAGCCCCTAATTTTCAGTTTAATCTTCCACAGCGTCGTACGTTAACACTTAACGTACACTTACCCTCTCGTCGATTAGATTCTACCCTTTGGAAGCTTATGTACGGTAATATTCGCTTTCGTTGTTGAAACTTCACTTTACGTTTCTTATATTTCTTGGATTATTTTAAAATATCTAAGAAATAATAATAATTTTTTTAATTATATTATACATCCCCTAATGTTTAGAACTTGGAATACAATTTTTCAATTAATTCCTTGGAATGCTGTAATTTCTCCCTCAACGACAGTAAAATCAATTAAAGGAGAAAAGGGGGCGGAATGATATCCTTCAAACTACCTTTAATCAAACAATTTCTCATTTCTACTTGATTGTTCCAAGCAACGTGTATGTACAATATCATTGATCGCAGGCAACGGGTGATCAAAGTCTACTGTTGCTCGAATCGAGACCATGTATGCCCGATACAGGAGAAAATTTCAGCAAAATTGCGTATTTATCGTAGAAGCGTTTGCGCTAATGCACGTATTTCCGTGCTGGACGCTCGGCCCGATAATTTCTTTCACCGGAAGCACTCTGGCAACGGTAATGCAATCGGGCCAGGCCAACATCCGTCGCGTGCCATCTATTTTTCAACGCGTAACAGTATCACATTCGATATTCAATTGATTTAATAGCAGTCTCGTGAATCGTTGCTGACCGCGTTGTTACGCGTGCACACGACGCCAGCTTTTCATGATTCGGGTGAAATAATGTTCTACTGTCACTGTGGTATCTGCATACAATGCCACTTCAGTCTATGCAAGATTAGAGATTGATAAATATTAATTATTTAGAGAGCTTTCGAATTCTTTCATTTGAAATTGATAAGAAATGAAATCCACACGTTGGGAATACATTAGCAAAATAATATCAGAATTATAATTTTGTTTGTTAATTTTGCAAAGTAACTAGTGGAAATTACATGATGAAATAATCCTGTTTTGAATAATTATTAGTATGTTCATTATACGCGATTAAGTTAATAATATTTCATTAAAATATCCTGTATACCAAATTTGAATCATTGACACCAACTAAGCTCAACCATTAATTAAAAAGCGTTCTTGGGCTTAAAATGTTCGCCATTACCGAAACTATTTCCATTAACGAGTGAGGATTGTAACTTTTTCGCGACTGCAAATTGCAAGCAACAAAGTTTGCAAATCCTTAATAAATGCAAATTACTATTCCATTCTAATAGCTGTTCATTACGGCAGAAGAGTATGCAATAGAATACATGAAATAATTAAAATATTTCGTAACAAAGTTTAATTTTGCAAACTATTTCATGCTGAAAGAAATTAGAATTTTTATCCCTTCGCGCTCTTTAAATTTATTCAGACATTTATCGTCGCTCGCTAATTTGCTTATAAAGTATTTATGAGCAGCGACGCTGTGTTATGTTAAAATGAAATTGTAGTCAATAATGAGGAACACGTCCCCACCTTATCTTCCGGGTAAGTAGGTTGATTAATGTTACGCATGGAATTAACTCATTAGCTTGTAGTCACGAAGTGTCACACGAATTTCCATGTACACTTATCAACACGCGTCGATAACAGCCAGCAATGTTATGAAATTCCAAAATTAAATATTTTTCTTATAATATTTTACTCCTTCAAATATTAATCATTGAGAATAAAATTTTCCGAACAGAATTATTCCGTTTACGTTTAGATAATTCAACGTAAAAACGTAGAGGTGCAACAGTAAAAGGGTTAAACATTCAGTCGAATTTTACCGAAAATTCCAAATAACCGGAAAGTTTTAAGCCGAGTTATGCGCTTCACGAACATCAGAAATGGTAAAATTCCACGTTGCACGTATTAAATTATATTCATAATAATAAATTACAAGGAGTCAAGTTAAAAATTCCGACGTTATCGTTGCATCGCATTTCGTGCATCGAAAACGCATCATAAATTACAATTATCTATTAAAATTGGTATCGCGATTTCCCTCCGTTGTTCGCGTACATGCAGATTATATTTAAACGAATAATGTTGGAAAAAGAAAAAGAGCTTATACTGTATACGTGGATAAATACAGATATTTTCTGATGCACCAATGAAATCGATGAAAAATTGCCTGCAAATCGCAGCCGGGATCGTTCGAGTTCCAAATGTGATTAATAATAGCGTTAAAAAGTTAGCATCCACGTCGCACCGTTCGAAATCGAGGGAAAAAGAAAAAAAAAGTGCTTTAATAAATGCTGGTACACGAACCGTTTGTTTTCCAGATACGGCTACCGTACATTATGGCGTTATTTCATAGCAGGTGTTCATAGTAGACTCCATTATTTGCTGCGAACACGTCAGTGTATTTGAGACAGGTATCTCGCGGGGTTCAATTTTGAAGTATAAATGGTCCTCTTCACGCTAGCTGGAGGAAAATTGTGTCAAAAGATATTTAAACTGAGATATTCTTATTTATATAACGATCATTAGAGTATAAACATCATACTTTTATTAAAAATAGAGTAATTTAGATTACATGGTTTTCTAAGGATCTAGAACTGTTAAAATTGTATTTATTTTTAGGTTTTCTTAAGTTCTTAATTTTTTTTTATTTCAAGTGTTCTTATAGAATATATTTCATGAAAATGTACCCTGTATAGTTTAAAAAAAAGAAGAAGAGGATAAAGGAAATATGGAACAGATCGAGTTTATTAAGCGGAAGTTATGGCCAGCTCGTGTCTGAGTAAACTGAGATGATCGTGGTTGATTATCTGGTAGTAATGCTGGAATCCATCGAGGGTGAAAATTTGTAATAAAAAAGTAGAATACGGTCACGAAAGCTATGTTATTTGTGGATCGTAAAAATATAATATGTTGAAAGGGTTAAACTATTAAAATCCTTTGTTTTAATGTTAATTCATGAATTTTTAAACAATATAAATATCCTTCACGTGTGACGTTAAGTACTGACGAGCATCAGATTACAAACGCGGTGAAACTATCTTTTTTAGAATAATTAATTACCATTTTTACAGAGAAATATTAAATGATAGTAAATTAATAATTTAAATGACAAATTTTTTATTTCTTGTAACTAACTGTGAAAAATTAATTGGAAGTACAAAATTCTTCAAAGATGATCATAAATAATAAAAAATACTATCAAGGATTAACCTGAAATCCGGTAAAACGATTTTTCATCAGAGGTCCATTGTCCAAGAGTTAATTATTCGTTTACCCCCGAAAAGCCGATCCTATCGTGTCTCTTATACACACGAGCTCTATTGTTGGCATTATGTATTTATGTGGTTCAAACGTCGGCTCTTTGTTACGTCGTCAAACGATCCACGAACAGCGTTATTGGTTTGCCGACATTTTTACGAGGTCTCCCGTTGCAGTTAAAAGAGCCTTGTAAAGTGTTTTACGATGAGTATCCCTCTACGGAACGACCTCTTGCAGGACGCATCATGGAGGCTTGAAATTAAAATGAAAATTAAAGTTGAAATCTGCCATTGCTAGTGGTAGAGCAGGCTACGAGAAAATATACGAATAAATTCATAAAATTGTATAAGGGATGGTTTTACAAAATTATGTTAACTAATTAACTTACACAATCAAATATTAAGTTACTCATAAACTTAAATATTCATTAACATATTTTATCATTATTTTCATTCTCTCATATCCTTGTTTAACCATACTTTCACCCTTTGAAATTTGTTCACAGTTCTGAATCCACTCACGTTGTAATTAATTCCAATTGCATTTTTAAGCAAATCGTCTAACATTCATTTTATTTTTAATTGCAGGTCCAATTGCGGAAACATGATCCGTGACTATCTGGTGCTACTTTCGTGGCTATGCGCTGTACAAGGAAAAATAGGTAAAAGCATGCACATGGTTACGCTACTCAAACTTCTTCGTGTTATCTAGAAATACCTAGCCACTTATCTACCTGTACATCTATAACACGCGTTGCATACGGTGATCGTGGAATTATTAAAACGGCCGAAACTTTCGTCGAATGTAGGTCGACGTTCTTTGAGCGCGTTTAGAGCAAAGTTTATTCGACAGCCGTATGTTAATGTTCCTGGTGCGCAGTTAATTATGAACGACACTAACAAGCTAGGCGGGCGTTCCAACGAAATTATCGAGGTGACAAAAATACTTTGACCTAATATTCGTCGCTAATTTTGCTCGCGAAAAATTCTTTCTAAAATATTATCACATTGAATACCATAGAAATACGCAGTTTCAAACTTGAATTTTCAATTTTCTATCCAACGTGTTCAACATTCAATCGATCTTTCAGCCGCGGACACGTCGTTATCAATTTTTAATAAAATCACGCAACGAGGAGGTGAAAATTAATAATCCTTTCTCGCATTCGCGCCAAGTTTCATAAAAAATAACCACGCCGACGTATGTTGATTAATCCTGTGACACGTTAAATTGCTCCATAATTCAAAAGCGAGGGAAATCTGGTAGAAAGTAGCAATTGTTAGTCGCGTGTCCCTTTCGCATTCGTAATTCCTCTGCGTTCATTCTGATAAATTTAATCTCGGCCGCGGATCGATTCCCGGTTTCTAATTACCTTGCAAAGTGGCCCAGCCTCGTTCAGATTGGCGCGCGTGGTTAATTTAAAACAATCCACGGTGAATCAGAGGGATCCGTTTCAATTGAATTCCTGCGACGTGGAAACGGTTCGTCTCCGGCGAAGAATTCGCCAGGCGACACGAGTTGACTTTCGTGATTGCATTCGGCTCGGCGCCACGTTACATTGGCTTACAAAATCGTGGCCGAAGAAAGGGCGAATGCAAATGCGAGAGGGGACAAGGATGCAAATAAAGGTCGAAACGCAAGAAGACACAGTGCCCGTTTCTCTCTGTTTCCAGGCTATTTCTGGCACATCACCGACATCCACTATGACCCGAGGTACTCCACCCAGGGAAACGCAGGCAGCAGTGAGTAGTTTCGTTGTGTACAAGACCTTCACGCACGCGCCCTTTCCCGTTTCTCTCACCCTCCTATCGCTCCTCTGTTTCATACAGAGAATTCCTAAAATGTTTGGCCAGACGTTAACGGTGTGTTGTACCGCGGTCTAGCGACGAGAATGTAAATGCTTCCTCACCCAGGTTACCTCAATTGGATTTCTCGATGAGAATACTGGCCCTTCTTAGGATTCCAGCTGATGAACATTTCGGCTGCTTTATGCGCCCTTCTAGTGGTTTGTAACGGGGGTAAGGGAACGCTTTTACCATGGCAAACTGCATTAAATTAACCCTTCAATAATGGTATCAGAATCAATCGTGACTCAAACTTATAAAACTCATAACAAGGATATGAACCTAAAGTTAAATTCAAATGGATTTATGAATGTCTGTGCTCATTAGGGTTTATTGATATTGATGGATGTAATTAATGGAAGGACATCTATGTTGCTAAAGAAAAGTCTGAGAATTGAGGTACTGAGGAATTATTTAATGAGTTGACTTAATATGTATTATATATAATTGCTAAATGATAAGGTTTCATTTATTGAAAGGAAACGATCAGTGTAAAACGTATCTGTTTATTTATTAGAATTTTTTTAATATTACAAAAGAAAAAACAAATTATACTACATCGATTCTGTCGTTACGTCCAATACACAGCATATTGTTCAAACTTGGCCAAACATTTCACGAACGTCATGAATTCAGCCAGCTTTATCCGGAGCCAGTATCTACCTCGTCCCCGTCGGTATTTACCGATCGTTTTAAAGTACCTGGCGTGTCTGGTTGGCACGGGGTTTGCATGAAATAACCAGCCTCAAATTGCGTCCCATACCCGAGCCTAACTCCGTGTCATTTGGACGTTAGCGAGGTAATACGTGACCGTCCGTTGCGCTTTTCCCTTAAAGCTCGTCCGTGTCCTTTTGTACAGTGGCTCGCAACCGCTGCTTTCTCCCCTTCCCTTAAATTCAACCCTTGCTTTCAGTGTTCTGGAACACGAGGAGCGTCGACGGCGGCTGGATGCCCCCCGACCGGAAGACGGTCGGTAAATTCGGCGATTATGGTTGTGATTCGCCATGGTCCTTGATCGAATCAGCCATGAGGGCGATGAGAACTCATCACGGGGAGGGAATCGAGTTCGTCCTTTGGACTGGGTAAGTTTGAAAAATACAAATTATTTTTTTAAAGGAAAATAGGTAAAATTGTAAACGTCAGTTCGTTACCATATTTGTACTGACTTTTTCTAATGCGATAGAATTCGAGCGATGTTATAGGAAAAAACGTGGATAGTTTAACCAATGTTAGTTGTAAAATGAATTCAAAACATTCATACCAGTTAAGCATCGAATGACGGGCTTTTATAACTTCTGTAATATGTGGAATTGTTTCGTTCAAAAATTTCCATCCTGATTTCAATCCAGACAATGTTATTTTGTTACCTACGTTTATTTTTATATTTGAACACTACGTTTTCTAAATTAATTCCTTTCATAATTTTAACAAAGAAACGTATTTCCTTGTAACATTAATTTCCCATGGTTGATTAAACGGTAGAGCAGCGACCGTGGAAGCAGATTCTCGCGAGGAATTATATTTGCCGGACGTTAATTGGATGGTAATCGTCGCGTAGGAAATTCAACTAACCGAGTCTTGCGGGGATTATCGGCACGACCGGGGAGATATCGAATCGGTAGGCAAGGTTGTTCATTTAAGAAGCGTTTGATGAAAATCGACTGACGCCGGATGAATCGCTTCGTTCGATATGGTTTGCTTCGTTACGAAGTTCCGGCGTCTTTAATCGAACAGCCTGTGTAAAGAGAATTAATTTAACCCGTTCAGCCCGGAGTTTGTTCAGGATTTTGTGTACGATATTGGAGTCTAAAGACCAACCAGTGTCTTTGATGGATTTATGAATTTCTGTGCTCGTTAGGGTTTATTGATAATGATGGAAGCAATTAGTGGAAGAACATCTATGTTACTAAAGAAAAGTCTGAGAACAGAGAGAGTGAAGAATTATTTAGCAAGTTGACTTGATTAAATAATTGAAATGACTACTGGTAATGTGAAGTAGAAATTGCAGGAAGATAAATAAAAAATTATTAAGAGTCCCGAGTATTTAATGTGATAACTCTGTTATCTGTGTTCCATTAACAAAATGATTTCGCTCGTTGCAAATCATTCATACCATTTCACTGGTATAAAACGAGAATCGTCGAAAGTCAATTTGGCAAATACTCGGTACTTTCGAAAATAACAAGTAACGGGTAATATATATTTACTGTTGAACGGAACAGAAATCGAACGTGAAATTAACGATCGCTTGACCAAATGACAAATTATGATCAACGAACAAATTACACGAACTCTCAACTCGCAATCAGCAAATTGGCCGATAAATCAGCAAAAACTGTTCGATCTTTAACACGCGGTTCTGTAAACTAATCCAATAATTGATGATTTGCTAATTCGACGAACGAAATGTGTCAATGGACCGTAAGAGTTTCGGGTATGTTCGTACGACCCCATATATCTCGCGTGAATTAAATCGCCTAAAGCACTAGTTAATTTAACAACGATCGAATGTTAATGCGCTTAGCCATAAATTGTTGAAATAATTGATAATTAACCTCTGACTTGTGAAATCCAAATCTAGGCTGATCGATAAGGATTAAAGTCCGTCGTCCCATTATTTTCTCCTACCATTATTAATTAATTTGTTACAAATTTTTTATATTTCAACTTTAAAATTATCGCGTGTTAAAAATTTATTGAACCAATAACAGTGTCACATCCTTTTGCATATTAATTATATACTGTTCTATTTGTGACTTCAAAATTAGTGATACAATTTCAAAAATAAAATTACAAATATTTGCATTTATACCCAATTTCGTCCTTTTGTTATCGCAATATGAAATGCTAACAAGCGTGTAGAGAAATTTGAATTCTTAATATCTCTGGTACATACCTCCAAAATACATTTCCACAATAATCCGCAGGCAAATTCCACACATGGCTCTCTGATTTACCACGAAACAGCAATAAGTTGACTTTATGGTGGTCAAGCCATGTTTTGCCTTAAGTCTGCTGTTTTTCTACCAAACAATTTGTGCACAAAGTTTAGATACGTATTTTAGTTCGCCATTCTGTTGCAACAGAAAGCTGCATACATAGTGCAGTCCAATTATATGCAGGGTGCATAGCATGCAAGTTTTGTGATCCCAGACGTTCTCTGCATCTAGATAATATAAATATTTTCAACTGATTAAATTGTTACAATACTTTGAAGGTATACGGGATTCTTTAAATATATATGAACATTCTTTTATGAAGAAAAAATTGTACTGGTTCGTTTAATAAGTTGGAGATTGGAATGGAAGTTCCATAAAGTTGAACGTAAATTTCTAGATTTCTTTTATCTCAACTTTATTCTTACGATGTCATATTTCATTGCAAAGTTGCAGCAGAACGCTGATATCGTATGGTTGCACGAATAACCCAGATTTTTGGTAGAATCGCAGACGAAATCTGCAATTTGTCGACTCACTTTGTTCCATTTATTATATTCATAGTTTCAGTTTCATATTCGTGCTTTAACCATTTGGGTGGTTAAAATTCTTTTTGGGGGTGGGCCAGGTTACTCAAGTGGCAAATTTATAATATTACCTAATTCTAACTTAGCTCTGGAGAAGTACTTAGATGCGATGTGAATTAAGGGCAAAATGTCGTAGAATCAAGTGAAACGTACGGAAACAAATGACTACGACTAGTAAGAGGAGAATTTAATCTTTAAAGGCTTCAATCGCGACTGCCTTTCTAACGGCATTAAATCCAGTTCCACAAAATCGCATTTCAAACTTTACAGGTTGCCGATTAACTTGTAGCGACCCCTGTACAAACGCGATACCAACGATTTCTCCACCTCCTTTCCTCGATTTATACCGTTTAGTTTCACAACCCTCGAATTAACACGTTGAACACGACGACGACTTTCGGTAATCTCCACCAGAAATTCAACATAATGGAATAATTAAAGAAGAAGAATATTCTTTTTTAATTTTAAGTAATTCATAAAAATTCATTCGTGTTTTGTTACATACGCAAGGAATTAAATAGAAACTCAAATTAAAATGCAAAGGTGTGGTATTCTGAATAACTGCAATTATAATCCGTGACATAACTGATAATTATAAAATATTTGTAACCTTTGAAATCTCAAAAATTGTACGTATTTTCTTATGAAATTTAAAAGGGTTCATTAAACGGGATTGTGAACCATGGATTTAGATTCAAATTGTTCTCTTTTAATGAAAAAGGCGAACTGGAAGCGGCAACTTTCAACGGGCTCAACGAGCCTGGACAATGTAATATTCCGGAATCAAATAAAAATTAATGAAGGAAATTGTCGCTTTCGGAGGAAAAATCCGGTTTCTAAAAGGATCTAATTGCAGCAATCCATGTAATGGGGTTCCTCTTGCGGCGTGGTAGGAAAGTTTTCAGGTTTCTCGTTAAATTGCTACGACACCTGTACACGAACAGCTTCTATGAGCTTTCCATTTGTTCTTCTCGATTTATCATTTGCTTTCTTAAGTTTCTGGAGCTTTCTGGATTTAATTGCAAATTTACTTTATCTTACTTATCTCTAATTTCTGATAGATTCAATAGTAGATAAATTAAAGGAGATTTTCTTCAAATATATACTGAATTTGGGGAAGATTTGCTAATTGATTTACTATAATACAATTAATTTATTCTATATTCGAAATAGGTTAGCAATTTAATTTGCAACTGTTCCGCTTATTTAGGTCCAAAATTTCAACCTGACGGTATAAAGAGATAAATATATCACAGTACCTTTTCAGTAAAAGAAGTCAAACAAATTTCCTCGGCAGAGAGTCGTATAAAAATTGAAAAACTTGAAGGTACTCGGTGATTTTGTAGCAGTAAAGGTACAAGTCGAAGATCTTTGGTGGTAAAAAGGGAATAGAAAAAAGGGAAGTAATATAAAGTGAAAGGTACGGCTTCGCTTTTAACCGGCAACGAAAGGTTTCGATGTAATGTCAGAATCAAATAAAAGTTTTACCAAGTATACGGATGGTTTCAAGTGGAAACCTCAATTTCTGAAGGGCTTCAACCGCGACGGTTTTTCTGGGAGTTAGTTCCGCTGAATCGAAACTAAAAGTTCGCGTGTCGTCAAGTGTGTTTCCCAGTGCGAATCCGAAGCTGCACGCGTGCACACGTAATAATTCTCTCGATTGATCGCATTCACTTCTTGAACCCTTTAATTAACCCCATGATTTCCCGCTTGAAATTCGATTACCGAAGTTTCGTATTATGTTCCCGTGACTTCTGAAAATACGAACTACGGCTTGCTGAACAATATGAAATGGTGTTAACAATCCTTTGTTTAATATGAAAAGGAACAACGCAAAATAATTATATTATACCTTTTTTGAGAAATGAAATCTGTGTACCTGGAATATGATAGCTTTATTTTATTAAAATTCCTCGAGTATAATTAACTTTTATGTTTGAATTCATTTTCGAGAAACGAACTGAAAAGTTTGCATTTCTGTTGCTTATAAACGAAATGAGGAAATAATATGAAGCTTTGCATAATTTCCAGCTGGATGATTATGTTGATAAATAAAATTCTTAAATTTAGAAAATCAGTGAAATAGAATCGTGTTAGAAAAATATCTTGAAAAAATAAAAATAGAGAAATCTAGTACAGTATATTTTCGTTCGGTCATCGACTCTTGGTTCTGTAGCAGCCTTGCCAGGTGATAAACTTTGGTAAACATTTCCTCGAAGACTCGTGCGAATCTTTTGTTGTCATTCTGCACGCTCGGCGTGGAGATCGCATAGGCCAGTGTTGTTCTAGCTTCGGTCGCGTAAGGAACAGATCGCGCATTCCGAGCAGCTTTCAATATTGAAAACTGGCTAAATGTCTACAATTAGGGCCCCAATTATTTCCTCCAAATTTTATCAACAGTTTTGGATTCGGTGGGCAAAAATACATAGAATTTACCTTTTTTCAATTTCTCGTTGAGGCCCTAATTGTAGACATTTACCGAAAACTGGTACAAGTGTTATAAATATTTAATTACGGGTGTGGCGAGGGTGAATAGAGTACATTTACCCCTACCTCTTTTAGTTCAAAGTTTGCAAAATTCTTATTTCAAAAATTATCGTACCATCTAAAATTTTCGTTCATCTATTAAACCCGAGGTGACATTTTTTTAAAAGGTAATATCTAGCTGAGAAATTCACCGGTCCTAATTTAAGCTTTGCATAATCCTCCATCGTATTATCCACAATCTTGAAAACGAGATCTTAAAATATAATACGTATAACTGCGACCTAAATTTTATTCCCAGAAGATAATGAAATTAATTAATTAAACAGAATAGTATAGTATAGTATTTATATTTTATTTCACAAAATTGGAACTCAAACTTTACAAAAATTCCACATGCTACAGAATATCTTTATCAATTCATGAGATTGTATTTTCAATCTTATACAATTATCAGTAACGCGATTTAAAATCTAGATAGAAATATCTTTCCAAAATCCAATAAAATTAATCATATTTTAACCCATCTATCAAATCGCAACTGATTCTTTACAAAATCTTCCCTCGTTACATCGCGTATACCTATCGGAATATCGAATACAGGATTTCTTTGTGTTCGATATCGAAATCGGAGTAATTCTCGGTATACGTAACCATCACTAATGAGGCTGTAACTACTTGTTGCAGGGACGCGTTGACCCGGACCTTCGATATGAGCGCCGAGTTGCGTCTACAGTGTTTGCGGAATTTGACCGATCTGTTGTCCCGCACGTTTAAGGAACAATTTGTGTTCCCAGCACTCGGGCACGAGGACATAGGAGTGAGCTTCTCTCAACTGGCCGAGCTGTGGCAGCAATGGCTGCCCCAGGAGGCTCTGGACACGTTTCGAACCGGTGAGTACACTGAATACCGTTTCTGTCCGTGGCTTTTACCGCACCAGAGATGGGAATTTCTCGAGGCAGAGCGAGAGGGTGAGATGTCTCGTAATAGAGAGTAGGGTTGCTAGAGAACACGAAAATCGGATTAAATCAAAAGGGACAGAGACTTAAGACCGTGGCTTCCGGGAAGAACGTATGCTGCTTGCGAATTAATTGTTTGACGGTAGTGCTTCCGTAACCACGTTTCTGGTTAATTGTAATTTACGTTTGTTCTTTGCATCGTTGCATTTCATAGAGAAAATTGTTGGATAAATGGAATAGCTGAGGTAGTTAATCAATTTTATTGGAAAATAGCTGTTCTTTTACTTACCGAATAAACGAGATTCCATGGCGCCAGAAGCTATTTTGTGTTCAGATTGGGTCACTGGATGTCACTATCTCAATTTATTTGAATATTTTTATTGTTATATAAAAATAAAGACGGGTTAAATTAAATTTTTCTACGGTGCTATTCACCTCAGTTTTATTATAGTATTAATATCAATCTTGAATTTTTTCATGAAATTGCAAGCAAATAAAATCCAAGTCAGCTAGATAAAAATTTGACAAAACCATCTTCATGCCCTCGATTTCAATAAAAGTCCATTAGCGAGCTCCGTTGCCCGAAGGAATTAGGGGGAAGATCACGATAGAAAAGACCGTATAAACCGCCGGCTTAAGCTCATCCGACGATTTCGTGCACTTGTTACAGCCGGATATTACACGATAGAGCAGCGCTCGGAAAAGTATCGAATCATCTTCTTGAACACAAATTTGTGGCTGAATATGCATCGTACCGGAAGCAACACGATCGATCAGCAGGATCCTTTCGAGCAATGGTCCTGGTTCCAGTTGACCCTTGAGAACGCCCGGAAGAAAAAGGAGACGGTGAGTTTCCATTTTCTTTAATCCTTTGATGACCGACGGGATTACAGAATCCTAAATATTATAATATTCTAAAATTTACATTTATGATAGCTTAGATTCTCCAACGTGTAATATATTTATATTTATTTATCTATGGAAGACAAATTTTTTAAAATTAGAAAATTTAAACAAAATCAATTGACATCAAATTATCAAACTCGTAATGAATGAAATATTCTCGTTTAATCGAAATGTAGAGGAATAGATTGAAGGAAATAATTCGTAGAACTTTTGAACATTCACGCACAATGGGTGAAAGAATGGTGGAAACTGGATTGCTCTCGTAAAAGGAACTTTGCGAAATCTGCAAATTCTGACGAGAAATCGGGAGAAAAGAGAAAGACAGGAAGGAACATTCGCGGGCTCGAAGTGGCGTTAAAGGAACTTTATCGGGGAAACGTCAATTCCTCGGGATGAAAATTGTGTGACGCCGGTATCAACGTTGATGCCGCTTCGTTTCCTCCATTTTGCTCCCTGTCGCGATAAATTATTTACACGGGACGTAGTTATCGGGACGACAGGCTATCAGTCAATAACAGAACTTCCGGCCGGGAGCTTTGCAGTCCGAAAGCGAGCGTCGGATCCGCTTTCATCGCGTGGGACACAAAGTTACCGAGGAAATATTAATATTCGATATTGTTCGACGTCTGGATGATCGCTTTGCTACCATGTACACGTGAACAGAATGATATTGCTTGTACAGAATCATCGTTACGTATAGAGACTGTCGAGCAAATTGATTTATTTCCAACGTCTTTTGTGAAGCGATAATTATTAATAAAATTTTAATTCGTGAAATTCAGATCATTGGAAGATTTGTTCAAATGAAAATTGATAGATTGATAGACGTAATAGAAGTAATGGCAAATATTAGAAAATTTTTATGATATTAAAAATTGCCTTTGAGAAAAATATTTTGAAAAACTATGCAGTCATTGTTCTAGGAAACAGCCCTTTCAAAATTAGATTTCATTTAAAATTACCTTCTTTCTACATTGATTTATTTTCACCTTCTTCTACTTCAGAATTTTCTCAATAACATAGCTGCAGGGAAATCTTGTCTCAGTTTTATTTAATATTCTATATTTGCAATTTATTATCAACTTTACAAAGTACCGGATCCTTCTGAAACTTATTATAATCATGAAACTTTATGTTCCAAGGAAATCGTGCTTTCTTAAACGTACTTGCTAGATCGATATTTAATATCTGAGCTTATAAGTTACGAGGAAAACAGTATAAAAACTGGTACAGTTCAATAAGCTTCGAGTACTTAAACTCGCGTCTAACTTTCAAATCGAAGAAGGTTTAAAACCTTCGTAAATGCATCTCGCATAGAAATATCACGAATCGATTTATTTCTAATAATAAATCGACTTCCGGCCTCGATTTCTAGTGTTGCGTGTCTTTAGAAATAACAACCCGGAACAGTGTGAATCACAGAGCTTCAAATTGTTCCCTCATCAAATATTGAACGTGGACGTGTAACCTATTATTTTTTTTACATCAGTACGTTCACTTCCGACATCAATCACGGTAGATTTAATTATATATCATTTGAAGATGATACAAAAATTGTTCTAAATTTCATCGTTTTAGTAGGTGATAATAGTGTGATAATAGACTTTCTATAGATAGAAGCATGATGACAATGAGATACTATAAATAATATACGTTAAATTCAAGAATTTAAGTACCGTAAATTAATTACTTTCCCAAGCAGGCAATGCAATTGTGTCTTAAGTGAAAATTGAATTTTCCAAAAATCAAATCGAACAATTTTTCTATCTTCAAATATTTTAATTTTGACAATTATAAGCTGAAATTTTATTCACAATGTTTCTAACACTACCAGTCTGCAATTTTATTTGAGAATTAATAATAGACTTGCTAAATAATAGAGAACCGATTATAATCACAAAGAGAGTTCCTTTATTTCCCAATAAAGAAACAAGACCACTGTTTATCGAGCTTCAAAAGCAACGATGCAGTCGTATTCATTGGGTTCCTTCAATCATCGATACTTCAATCTCCGACAAGTTCATCGAACAGAAACGAACTTCGAATGAAACCGCGTGATTTAATTGCTTCACAGAAATTCCATGAAAGCTGAAAGATGGGCTCGATCGATCGGGGAATCCTTTCCTCAAAGAATTCACTCTGCTCAAGCTTCGGGTACCGTAGAAATCGAACAAAAATCTATTTCATAACGCGGTCGAAAGAAAATTCTGGTCGTGGAATTTTACGATGGAAAATGAGATCGTCCGTGAATTTATTCCACGGCCAATTACCATTCGTTCAGCTGGTTCTTTGCATTGCGAATTTTGCTCCTTGCCGAGCTGCGATTTCCAGGAGATCGGTGTCGGGTAACGCGCTGCCTCCAGCTATCGATTATCGATTACGAGCCGACGGGTGTTTAGAACGTAGGGAATCCTTCAACCAACCTGGATGCTACGACCGGTGATAAATTATGGAAGGACTTTGAATTCCATACACGGGACCGACGATCCATATAACTTAAACCTTTGCACCAGCATCCCATTGATCTTGATCCTATGAGAACACAGAGACACAAGCTCACTAAAATCTTTTATACGAATTTTAAACATATGCAAATTGAGCAACTGAAAATTGATACAAGTGTATCTTTTCAACGTTCTGATTATCTTACGGCTTTCGATTGTTCATAATAAGATTAATAGCACTCATCAAAAAATAAACAAGGAAATAAATCTTCACCGAAAACCTATGAAACATCAGACCCAATAAATGAACGAATCCATGCAATTAAGCATTCCAACAATCATCAAACCACAGGAGAGTGAACGTTTAAAAAAGAATACGTTCATAAATTCCCAGCTCGGCAATTAACACCAAACATCGTTGAAACGGAATCCATTGAAAATTGAAAAGTACGAACAAGAAAATGAGGTTGAATTAACAGCAAGGATAATTGGCGAAGCAGATCCAGCTAACGTGTCAGCTTTCCAGCTTTCATCTTTCTATAACAACGATAAATCGTTTTCCAAACGGTCCGTGAAATACCATTGAACGTAGCATTCCCCCGAGATTTCCTATAGAATTTTCCGAAATCCTGTGTCCAGATCCGAACTGAACAAAGATGATAGAAATCCGATTTTCCCTCGACAGATATAATCCTTTTTCTGTCGTCGCTCGTCCATTTCCTATTCATTCTATCGCATTTCGTTACGTATTCGTTAAGAGTGAAAGAATTCCTAGCATGAGACTTATTCGATCCGATAATACGATTACAAATTACGAGCGTTTAGATGCGTCAGCAGGTGAAACTGACCAATCAGCGACACCATTGTTGGCCAGTTCGATTCGTTCGCGAATGGATTGAATAGGTCGGTGATTCTATTTTCTTTTTTTTTTTTTTATTTTTTTATTTCACCTATCGACGAGGCACTTTCGAGTCGAAATCAACGTCGTCGCTGTTGGTCGTGCAACGAGGACCATTCAGTAGGCGGAAGAGATTTATACGCGATTCCGTGCTTTCTCGTTTATTGCTAACCGCTAGAAATTAAATTCAACCTTTGCTCGACTTCTCCCCCTGCCGGATCAATAATATCGAATACAATTTGTTTTTCGATGGCTTGAAAGTGATCGGACGTTAAACTCGTGATTGATCGTTTGATGCATGTTTAATCATTGCACTGCGGACCGCTAAGAGAGCTGCGATCAAAATTCAATTTTATTTTCATTTTTATAGTTTCAGACTATTCTTTTAAATATTTATGAAACTCTTTCGTTACGTATTACTAGATTTAGATAACTGAAATACCGTTGTATATTTTTTACACTTGGATCGTTATCGATTCAAAGGGTTTTAATTCAGAAGTGATTTAACGTCGCCTCGTTAGGTCCCAAATTCATCACACAATAGAGCCATTTAAATTGTCCAACTAAATCGGTGTCGCACCGCTCCAAATAACAAAGAGTATTTGTTAATGTTGAAGCGTATTCTGCCGAAGATAGGACAGCTTCTTCCGCCAAGTGTAACACCCGAACTACATATTTTGTAAGGCGTTCTTTGGCCGTGTGCAGTGAGCGCGATGAACGTGTGTATGCACGAGCACGAGCATTATAAACCTTGCCATCATATGCAGATTCTTTGAAAGCATGCTACGTCCCATTTGGATTGTATACTTGCATCGCAAATTGTATGTGCACGATCCAGTGGAAAATAGGCACTCGGCTTCGCCTCCTGCTCGAACTCCGCTACCTTTTCTGTCGCAGACAAGCACCGATCATTACGAATCTCCTCTACCCTATACATTCGATTCTTTTTATTTTAAACACCACTGCTGCGTGAGCCGTGTTGCAACATTTTGAATATTCATCGAATTTTCCAGCCTGGTTACATGTATCGCTTATTCGGTAGAAATTTATGGTGTTGTACTGTTATAGTTTACGACACGGACAGTAATTAATTTAGATGAATTAATTGAATTTCGTGGTGATCGATCTGAAGTAGAAACTACTTATCTGATTAAACAATTTTTCATCAATTTAAAAAATTAAAAGTGAAAGAAAGAGAATTGAAATCCGTCTATCAATTTAATATCAAGATCAATTTTCTAGCAACGTCTGAAAGGAAATATGAAATTTCATCAAGGTAAAATAAAAGGGAGCATCTATACGCGAAATGGAAGAAAGAAATGGACTAAACCACCAACGTCAATTGCAATTGTATCACTCGAAGTTTAATATCGTAATAGCTACTGTTTGTATATGTGAAGAGTACGCGGTCATTTCGAAATTGTGCTTCGATATCGATCAAATGCTATTATAGTTGAAGTACCGTAACGCTGACGGAACTCTGGACATGATTAAAATAGAAAAAGAAACGGACAAACGTTGGTAGAAAATGCAACAACAATTGTTTCGAGGTACTAACCCCCATAGTGTTCTCTGCGAATATATATCAGTTTATGGTCTTTCAAACAATTTTACGATTCCTGAACGGTATACTGTGAGCCTGGGGCTTTCAATTTAACCATTGTGCGATCATGACACTCGGCGGACAATAAAAACTGTTCTGAGTGTTCTATAAATAGCGTTAATGTTGAATAACTTATTTGATATACTTTCATAAATAATTTCAAATGATTCACGACTATTATAAAAAATTTTTTCTAAGAGAATTACCGAAGTGATTATTACTGCAATAAATTTTTCTTTATATATTGGATTCTCTGAAAAGGGGGTTGTTTAATTAGAAAATTACAGAGGTGGAAAATTGAATATTTAATAATAGAAACGATGTCGTTTTCATTTATTTATATATCGGTTGCTATCTTAAAGCTTTCATGTAATCAGTGTAGAAAAATTTTGCAACGATGGAAACCCGAAGGAAACATACGAATGCATTTCCCAGAGGCTACATCATTCTTTCCAATCAATCAGCAGAAAAGAAGCCACGAAGTGTCTTTCTTGTTGCTTTACCTGCGTCGTACGTGTGTTATTTCTTTAAAAGAAGCTTCGTTCTGGTTCGCATCAAGTCGAAACGCTTTTATATCGGAAGAAGCCCGAAAAAATCTGACTGGCTGCGTGAAATTGAACTATTTCGAAGTGAACACGACGGATCGATACGACACGGTCCCTGTGCTTTCTTTGACAAAGGCAAAGGGAACGAGCCTGCTATTCCGTGTCGAATCGAGTACCGAAAAAACTCGTTTCTCGTTTGACGAGACGATATCGAGAAACTAATCCACGGCACTGGATGTTCCTGCAATCTGTTGCAAATATAAAAAAAAAAATTTGCTATTTCGAGAATTTGTCGATAAATTCTTTTGTTGTGTCAAGTGAGTGATATATAAAAAATTTTTTTTGCTGAAATTCGAATCATTTAATTAATCACTTTCATTCCTTTATTAGTGAAGCGATTTATATTTGATTGATTAGAGAGTGATGTTTTTATCGTTGATAAAATTTTTCAAAATTTTTGCCGAAATTTATCAGAGTACTTTTGAGAAAATCCTTATCCCTGATTTGGAACAATAAAATTCCGACAAACACTCGAACTTTAGCGTACGTGGCATGCGATACAGTTGAACGTTCTCTGTAACGGCCAATATTGTTCCTCCGCGGTGGAAAGGAAACGCTTGCGAAATTCCAGCCTCGAATATTAAATATCGAGGCGAGTGGGTGGCTGGTTGGAATTCGTCAGCCCCTTTTCCTGCGACAAACTGCGAACCTTTGCGAAAATTCATCGCGCCAATGTCGTTTAAAGACGCACGGCTTTTTTTCTCGATATCCAATATTCAACTGCTGCCATTCTTAGGGTGAGATTTTCTATCAATATCAGACGAGTGCGTCTAAACTGCATCAGGTGCATTCAAGTGCAATGGAGAATGATCGCGTGTACTTCTTTAATTTTAATTACTTCATTTTATACTTTTTATGCGCAAAATGACAGGAGGAATACATTTATGCAAAAACGAATTATAAAAGTGCAATTGCATTGTGCAAGTGCATCGGTGCATTTATAGACAAAATCATATAAAGGGATTTTAGTACAAAATATTCGCATCTGAAATTTAATTTTTATTCCTTTAATTTGCAAAATTTCTAATTTCACTTGTCATTTTCTTCGATTCTTTTCTTTTTTTTTTAAATTGAAAATATCTACGTAAGGATGCTGCATCTAACAAAAATCCTCTTCGGTAGAAAATATCACTCTCATCGGGACACACAAAATTATGGACCACCATGGAAAAGATGGAGAATGTCTCGCGATACGAAAGAGGTTGGTTAGAGGTTCATAATGTCAGGTTAGAGAATCGTGCCTACCGAACCGCGTAACACTTATCTCTTTCAACCGGCGAAGTTTCGTTCCCTGGTGCCCGATCGACGGCGTTCACCGTTTAAAGAAACCTACTTTTTCCCCATGGTGCAATTCGTTCAGAAGGAATCTCCGTGCGAATGGAAAGAGACTTTTCCTTCCCCGTTCCTATCCTCGTTTTTTTTTTCTTCTCTTATCAGCTTAACGAGCTTTTCTTTATCCAGCCGACAACGTTTCTCCGGGCTATTCTTTCATCTCGCATTTTCTTCACCTCTTTTCCAGTCCACTGTGTACCTTTTTCCATTTTCTTCGCTCTTTGATTCCTTTTCTATGCTCTTACGTATGATCCTTTTCCACGTTGATGTTGTTTTTATCTTTCTTCTTTAGCCGCACATGGAAATGTCCTGTGCTTTGTTGCCTCTTCACCTTCACCCTCTTAAGCGTCTTTATTTCCCTTTTGTTTTTCAAGACTTTTTTGTTCCTCGATCCTTTCGGGACGATTATACGGTCTGTGTTTTTTATCTGTCTTTCCATAAGTCACTTTCTTTTAGCTGTACCCTTTCTTTTTCCAACATGATTATTATTTTCCTCTTCCACTTTATATTTACTCGTCTTTCCGTCATGTTTCCTAAGTTTTAATAGGTGAATTGTACCTTCATGCTTCCTCTGAATAGAATTTTTCACAAATATCTCACGAATTAATTTTTCACGTCGTGTCAGAACATATACGAGTCGAGATTTAATAGAAGCGCGAAGGTTTTAACTTGATCATTCGTTATTTCCTGTTCTCATTGTCTACATTTCTCTCTTATCTTCTCAACGTGACGTCTGTTCAAGCTTCTTCACGGAACGAAGCTCAAGCGGGCTGTTTATAAGCTCGAATCCCGGAGCGGTACGATGCGCGAAGTAGGATCAGCCTGCGTCTAATTTCGTGAACGTGCTCGATTAGTCGTATCGCGCCTCCTTACGTTCGAGGATTCGTATCCTGTGTCGATCCCGGATAACACTTACGATATTCCATTTGCCGATGCTAACGAGCAAGTTCCTCGTTACCGCCTGATACTGCTCGCGTTTCACGCACGATGCTCGCTCTACTCGTCTATTTAGTCGAGATGCAGTCACGCGACAAGTTCCGGGGTTAAAATTCATGAACTGAGCACGGCATTCAGCTTCGGATATACCTATGCAGATTTCAATTCAATATTTTGCGATATTTCAAAAATATCTGGGCGACATTTCGTGGTCCAATTAACTCAATTAACTTAAGAGTTAATTAATCCATTTGAGAGTATTAAATCGGAAGTCTTTTAATTTTATTAATTAGAATTCTTTTAATCCATACGTAGTGTCTGAAAGTTTTTCGTGATACATGGATCAAAAGTGATCCCGTATTGCCTGAACGAAGGTAAAGACTATGTATTAGTCTTCCAGAAGCGTATAACTGCAAATAAATTGTACGTTTTGTCACTGTCGAGATTATATCGGTCGTGGAATAGACCAGGGTTCTACCTAGGGCTTTCGAGGGTTTAATGTAGAAAAGAATAGATTTCTCAAGCCATTGATTTACATACGATTTTACCGTCATAAAATTCAACAGGTTCCACGAGCCTCTCATGAATTTCTCGCGTTTACAGATCGTCAGTTTGATATTTGCTTTTCTTGAGATTTCTCTATTACTGGGGGGGCTGGTTTGAACAGTTTGAAGGGATATGGAGATTTAGTATATGGAACGAGTTCGTGATACGAGTTTATGGAATTATTAGTGACGGTTATTTCCCGTCGGGGTTCGGTCTCAATTTGTATGCCGGGGTTCGGAATGAATAAAGCCGGTTATCTGGGTGTAACACCTCTTTGATTACATCTAACCGTGAACTTTATTTTTGTTACAGGTATACATCGTGGGTCATACACCACCTGGCGTGGCCGATCGCGAGAATGGTGCCGCAGCTTTCAGTGAAAAGCACAACACCAGGTATCTTCGATTGATCCGTCTCTATTCGGACATCATTCGTGGTCAATTCTTTGGTCATTGGCATTCTGACACATTTCGTGTGGTTTACAGCGATACTGGTACGTTGTTGACCCTTCTTTTTAATAGACTATTGAATAGGGTGAATAAGACTGACCAGCACACAACCCTTTAATATCTTGCTCTTTGAGGATTTGTGCCCATCATTAAGGCCATTGTGTGTCATTTGTGTTGATTAGTTTTATTCGCTTATTATGTACATTTTATTTTTAGAGTATTTTCATGTTATTAAATAATTTGGTAAAGGAATATTAAATGTTAGTTGTACATTAACACAGAAATGCTGAACAATATTTGTAGTCTATTAATTATAACTACCTTGATTTACAAAGACACTTCATGCACGGTTTATCAATCGAGTGATAAAGTTTGAAGGTTCTCTCATAAATTGATGCAAACTATTTAACGTAGTAAGCTGCGTTTGCCGAGTTGAAACGTGTTCCAGTTTACGTGCAAAAAAAAGTACGGAAAACCGTCTGTTTCGATTCTTTTACTAAACTATGTCGCGAGTACGGGCTGACGTTAAAATCTATAAAACGCATTAACTTCCGAGCAGATAATTACTCGAGTATCCGTGCTACTTCGAAGTTACGGCAATGTAGACTCAATGACACATGGTTGTAAAGAGAAATGGAACGATTAATTTATCTGCATGTTCGAAAATTAATAACGTTCAACGTAAATAACGTATCGTTTGCAGCTAGCATGCGAATAATGCTTCAAAGGCTATTACTTCTACCCTTTCAGTACGATAAAACCACATGTACGTGTTTATGAAAGGTTTTAATAGCCTGCAAATTCATTAAGTTTTTTATTAATTTCTTGTGCTCTTGATACAAGCGAAAACTATTTATCGATTGGAGAGGGACATAAATATTTTTTATTAACTCGTAATTTTCTGTGTATTCTATTTAAAACGACTAAAATGGTTCATAAAATTATTTAATATTGAATATTGACTAAATACAAATTGAAATTATTTTACTTTATATGACGACGTTCTGTTACCAGGTCTGCCAGTATCTTGGATAATGATGGCACCGAGTATATCGCCTCGCACCACTGGAGGACCCAATAATCCAGGTTTGAGATTGTACAAGTTCGAAACTAATACCGGTCAGGTAAGTTGAAAATCAGCTATACGTGGCGTCCATAGTGATGGGTGCTCGATACACTCTTGCAAGTTATCAAGCAATTGAAATAGAAGTAGGTAGTTTCTAATGAAATATTTCAAGATACCTTGAAAAATGAAAGAAATGATAGATAGGAAATTTTAACTAGAAAGGACAGTATAGTGTCGCGTGCAAATTAACCTTCTTTAATTAAAAGGAAGTGTCCCACCTGCCTTGCGAAGACAGAAAGTTACAGATTAAGCTCTCCCTAGCTCCTCAAAGGATCTCCCTAGGTTCTCTCAACATCAAAGGGAAATGGTAGCAGACCCTCCCTTTACCCTTTGATTCGAAATGATCCATCATACATATTACAAAAATCGAACGATCGACTCTTGAATGCCCTATATAGGTATTCGAATCGATTGAAAATGATTGCCCATCACTGGACGTCCATAATCTCCATCCATCTGTAAGGGTGGTCTATTTATGGGTCGTAACGTTCACGATTGAAAGAGGCTAGAGGACATATATGTATACGTAGATTTTCTCTGCCTGTTCTGTCGCATTCAGGTGTTGGATTATACGCAGTACTATCTTAATCTGCCGGAAGCGAATTCAAAAGGGGAGGCGAACTGGTTGGTCGAATACTCTATGCTCGAGTACTACGATCTTCAGGAAATAACGGCGATCACTCTTCACGACTTGGCCGACCGATTCACGCAATCCGATGATTACGCTTTCGTCAGGTGGGTAAACGGATTATAGGACCGACAAATTTTTCCAATCTACCGGGAGACGTGACCGCGATCGTATCGCAAACTGAGGTCATCGATCATCCCCGTTTGCGGTATTGACTTGGACGGGGGTTCGAACGCGTTGTCGTGGAAAATGAAACGTTAGATTGATATATGCTTCGGCTTTACCACCTGCTATACTTCCATTTTCATTTTCCTTATTTTTTCTGATTTTAAGACGAATTCATTCACGGAGACGTATTTTATATTCAATCGATCATATGTGTTTTATATTTCTTGGTCTACTTTTTAACTTGTCACCAGGATCATGTGTAAAATAATTTAATTAATTAATTAAAATCTGAATTACCCCACCTTGTCAACCCCTCCACAGCTAATCATTTGTCCATCCCCCATGTTATTTATGCCCATACAGATATTACGCTGCCAATACAGTCTCACTGCCTCGAGAAGTAGAACAGATTTGGGGTTGCGGAGGTTCATTGAATGGAGCCTGCGTCCTTCACCATTACTGTACCGTCACCCGGCTGAACATCGAATCCTACAACGAGTGTTACTCGTCCTACGCTTATGCGCTCGCCTCTACTGGTCCAGCCGCAGCACGATTATCGTTAAACCTGCTTCTGCTGCTGGTCTGCGTGGAATTGCTGAGGAATCGGTAGGTTGGGACTTGTTGGTCGACGCGAAGCACAGCTGCGAAACGAACGAGCAAAACGCAGCTATTGCCGCGCCATCGTTGACGATACTCGCGCGTAAACGAACCACGCGAGCGAGCTTGAAATCGTTGAAAGATCGCGACCGACACCCGTGTGTCCGCATGGCAGAACGTAGGAGAACAATCTTAACTTCGTCTCTGTATCTGTCCTATTTGTCCACGCGTCTTCTTCTCTCTGTCGTTAACGCGGGAAATGAACAGATCCGTTCGTTAAACGAGCGCGACGATTAACCGCGCCGCGGAATTTCACGGTCCCGAGCACGATCGAGTTCCGCTCGGGGCTGTTGGCGTAGTTCGTCCCATCGCAAACAGAGGACTGGCTAACGCCATCGCGAAACGAAAGGGAGATCTCGAAGCTTTCATGATTCGGTTTGTCGTACACTGTTTCAAAGTTTCTGGCTGTAATTCCTGTACAGACGGAGATCTTTCCTACACTACTGATGAAATTCTTGGAAAAATTTCTTTTCGAGTACCGTTTATACCCGGGAGTCTCGGGTAGTGGTAAGTGGAACAGTGTTGCGCGAAAGGGAGATCGGTTTAACCAAACACAAAAGTAAGAAAAAGTCCTTGATGTTGTACTTGCTTCTCTTAAGCGTTCGGTGTACGTTGTTTTTAACACGAGAAGAATATTTATAACGCGTTTTACGCGTCTAGATCGGTACACGAGTAACGACGCAATGGAAAAAAAAAAAAAAATAAAAGGCAAAAGTGAATTCGCGATCTACGATCGATCCCGTGAACCGGAAATACACTTCGGTGAGCGTCGCGCGGCTTCGATCCATCGTCGACGACTGCGTCGAAGCGTTTCATAGCTTGAAGAGCCATTATATTCGTACCATCATCATTTCGCGATTGTCGGAACAATACAGTATTTCTTAATAAACGAGTCATGGATTTGTAGCCGAGCGGTGACTTTATTTCAGATCCCATCATTTTAATCGTGTCAGGCCCTTAACCCTTGGAATTCTGTTCCTTCGTTTTCTATTTATATCGTTTTTCTATGGGGGAGGAAAGTTAGGAGCTTGCAAGGGAGCACTTTCTACCATTGAACAGAAAAATAAAAAATTTTGTGCGCGTTTAGTAGCCTACTATTAAACGCTTTTATTAAATTTTTTATTTTTCTGACGTAACAGTAAGAAAGTTTCCCTTGTAAGATGAATTGTAATTCTTTCCTGCCTGAGGAAGAGAAATCTTGATAAAGGAAAATGTTCGTAAGTTAGGTAACTCTAGTCTTCTTGCTTTTATAAGAGAAATATAGTACAGAAAATATAAATTTTGTTAAATTATACTGCATTTACCCCTACGGTAATAATTTCTTGTACGTCCAAGCAGGGAAGAGCTATAGTCGGTTACACTTCCCAGAATCACCCTGTATATCAAGGGGAAAGAACATTCTAAGTCAGACAAAGAAGGTTACAGGGTTGACCATGGTACCATAAATAACGAGAAGAATAATGACGAACATTTCGATGGGCACCTCGGCCATCTTTAGATGACTTGCCAGAACTTATCTTCTATGAGATTGTATCGCAAACTTTTCCATCTTCCAAACATAGAAATTTTGCAAAAATTTTTACAAACGTTATTATTCTTCCCATTCATCAAAAAAATTACTTTACTTAACCCCATCATTTTTACTTTTTAACACATTTTTGTTGGTTTTTGCAGAGACTGTCTTAGAAAAATTTTAATTTTCCTGAGCTTACTGCGACTGCTGTGTGACTGTTCCTATGATTTACTCCCATTTCCACCCTCCTTGCTTGCAAATTTATTTAACAACACGCGGAGAAGAAGAAAAGGAGATTCAACAATTCGGTAAGTAGTCAATCTTCTATTTTACAAGAAAATATTTAATTTTCTACTTCTTAGATCAAAAGCGATTTTCCAATCGCACTTACTGTGAACATTTTGAAAAATTGGAAGCAGAAAATAGGAACGAAATTAGCAAATATTTCCAACTAGACAAACGCGTTGTTTCTCGATGAAAATTTAAGCCGGAATCGGTTCAATCGCGATTCGATAGAAGCATCTGCTATCGTATTCGTGCAATAAACAATGATTCGGCAATATGTACTTTTTCGCTTCGGTTTGTTATCATTTTTCGAGTGAGGACGGTATCGTGTTACAAATGGTAATGAACAACAACGACTGTGCCGTTAATCTCGTCATGCAATCAAAAGCGAAACAGCGTTAGACAGTGTAATTTAATGAAAAGTCTTCGAGCCAGCACGAATAGCAGCTACATTTACGTGATTACAGATTCTCTAAAGTCCTCATTCTTTTTTTCTGTAACCGTGACGGTACATTCGTGTTGCAGTTAATCCTTTTTGGCAAAGCAAACTTTGTACGAAAAAATCGATTCGTGAATTCGTAGCTCATATTTATTTTTCGTTTCGTTCAATACACGGTATCTACCTGTATGAGTTATTTAACAGGTGGACTGGCACAGTTGGTATTAATTTCAAATAATTAATTAATTTAATGCATTAATTTTCTAAACATTTATGGTGTCAAAGTATTATTTTATTTTCTCGTTTCCATTATGGAAATATACCTTCGGGAAAGTTTTCTTTGAAAAAGGATGGCTATTAAAATTTCTTAATGCAATTGCAAGGAGCACGGTTACATAATGCAATTCCTTGCCGTTATGCATTTCTAATTAAATAAAGCGGTACATCTCGTCGCGACACGGGTCTCAGGCACACCGATGAGCGGTTACCGGAATTCTGAATTTACTTGGATAACAAGATAGGCCGGCGAGGTCTCAATTAATTCCGTAGCCGCTATAGTTAGCAGGTAGCCAACTTCCGTAAACGAGCTCCGGCTCTGTGCACGCGGTGACAGCAAATATGAAGATAAGTCGTTCATTAACACGAAACGGACATTTAGGGAATTTCACTGGTCGTAACGAGTACTCTGCGAAACCGCACCGAACCCCGGGAAAAAAGGAGGATTCTCTTACTGTTACCTTGCAAGAACTCGTTTGGAATAGCCACTGGGTAAATTAAGTTTCCCTAAGTGGCTAATAATTGCTATGGGCAGCGGCTTAATTAGGATTTCTGTAGGGGGAGGATCAAATCCCTTAGCCTCGATAAAAGTGTCAGATATCCGGTGCTATTTAATTCTAATGTAGTTTTCATCAAACCAACAAAACAGGGACTTGGAAATTTTTCTTTCTAAGCAGAAGTAATTTGAAGTTTTCTTACTTCATTCCATCCTCTATTCAAATATTTTTCAATGAATATTTATGTTTGTAACACGTGCAATTTATGAGCTTTTAGAACGCAATCAAGCTTTGAAAAATACCCTGATTTCATAAGAAATTAAATTAAGTAAAAAGACTAGTATGAATCACGCGTTCGTCTAATTGGAGTGTAATAAAACGATCCTTTGTTCTCCAATTAATTTCAATTAACAAAATTAACTTGGGCTTGTTAGGAAATGTATGCACGTCAGTTGAGGTGAATGGATTTGATTAAAGTGTTCATTTGCAGGAGTATTTCATGAATATTACAGGGACCGGTTGTATTTCTTGATGCTGGCTTTATGTGACTTACAAGCTTAAAATGAAATAAATTTTGTACCATTTTTGAATGAGTAATAACCATCGTTATTCGCACAGAATTTTAGTGAAAGATAGGTTCGTAAATTACATACAGTCTGACTTACATGATGAAAATTACCTTCTATTCTTTCCTTGGCTGAGATTCTTCAAACAGGTCGAATTTAAAATTCAACAACGAGTAATGCAACGTCTAGGCAACACGAAACGATGTACTTACATTTGATTCTCTTGAAATTGAAGAAAATTGACTCCTTACATCGCTGATGATCTATAATTCTACCACTACTAATACGTAGATTTGAAGTTGCAAATTGTGCCATAGAAATTCATGTTATTAGGTGTAATAACTTTAGTTGATCGCTAAAATTCTTCCAGAAAGTTGAATTTATTCGATAGTAAAATACGAGGAATATCTGACTTTAAAAATCATGTCGATTGTACGATAAATTTACACCTCTCTGCGTCGACCTTCTCGAATTTTTCCATAATTAAACTCCGAAGATATTCAAAAGTTTCTGACAGTCTATTAATATGCATTTCTGGGCACAGAAAATTAAGATTGGTTGACACAAATCTGAACGTGGCGAGATGGAACGTGAGAGGCGGAGAACTCTAGAACTCAAGGAAATATCTGATATCATGAATGCAAGTAGGGTGCGCGACGCCCTATTATGCACAAGAATGCTAATGAAATATTCTTGCCTGGAATCTGAATGGCAATGTCCTTTAGAAAGCAATTCTACAAATTAAGATCCTTCGATAGTCCTTTTCTCTCTGTGTCACCAGACACTTATTTCCTTAAAATGTACATTACCTTATTCTTCACGAAGTTGGATTAATCATAAATCAAACTCGACCTATTTCAATCCTTAACTCTAAAACCACAATTTCAACATTTTCAATTTTATTTTCTAAATTTTACATTATTCTTATAATCGTTGTTTCATCAGCGTCTTCTTTCAAATTCTTTTCTCCCCTTCGAATTTTTAAAAATGAAGAGAAGATCTCTGATTCTGACTGCTGACGTTCCCAACATAGTTGAAACGTGAAAATTCGAAAATCAAAGGCAGCTTACTTAACCCAAAGCTATCCTTTCTCGGTGCAGAAGGATTTCCAGTTCTAATTCCAGGCTGGCATAAACGCCCCCGTTTGGAGGCCACTTTGTACGTCCGTTCGCATTCGACTTTTCGCCGGCGCTGCTTGCAATTCAAACGAGGATCGACGATAATGGGCGGCATTTCGTTCGACGTAAAGTGTCCCGTCGGTCGTCACGCGATCCTTTAGCCGGCAGTCCACCGTTGAAAAGAACGGCTCTTTTTATCGGACCTCGTGCGAAACAATGGGGTTGCATTTAAGTCGTAGGAGGAACTGCACGCGTTTACGAGAATGTTTTGCTTTTTTCTTCCACCCCCTTCTTTTTCATTAACCAACTCCACGAACAATAACGTTCTGGCCCGACAATTGAATACGTATTGCTGCACGAGTGCGCGACAATATCCCCGTAAATGAGGAAGCTGCATGCACCGAACACTGTATGTACATACGTGCGCATCTGACGATGAAGCCTGTCACACACCAGAAACTCGACGCCACACGTTCCTCATAACTTAACGGAACATAATACAGCGTGAAACACGTACAGAGAGGAAAGTCATTGGCATCATCGATCAATCTAACGCACGAAAGCACGGCTCTCTGTTTGCAATTACCTTGAATTGATTATCAAACATTTTTACGTCGCTTTGACAAAAAAAAAAGAGAGAGAGACATTTTATTAATTTAAATTCTTAACGTCGGGGTTTAGTGACGACGAACGCGTTAGAATATTAATAACGCGAGATTTTCAATTTTTCGTTGGACCAGCTGAAAGAAACACCGGACGAATTTTCCTCTCGAAGCTTAAACGTGCCGTGAAATATTCGGAGCGGTCCGCTCGAATCCGCTTTAGCGACATGGAACGCGATTACATCCTGTGTGACCAGCCATGTGCGTGGTGCACGCATATTCGACAGCTGTACCGACAAATTGTTTCCATATTGCGACACGGGCGAGATTGTGTTACAGAGCCTAACGCGAGTATCAAGCTCAGCCGTCTGTACCCGGGACCGTTAAAGCGATGTGAAACGTTTATATCATTTTGTGCTTCGCCATTTTTTTTTTTTTATTTTTTTTTTTCCGTTTACCTGTTGCCGTCCCTTTGTCGCTACCGGTGTCTCTTGCATCCCTTCATCGGCGACCTGTCGATATTAAAAGCACTGCTCTTCGATGGAAATTGATGTATGAAAGAACTGCAGGTTCAGTGAGCCGTCCATGCTCACTGAGGGTTGGAATAATC